AATCTGATGGATTTCACTACAAAGATATAGTATCATGGTGGGACTTAAATACTTAAGTGATAGGATTTGATTTTCACAACCAATAATAGGCCGGCTGTGATTAAACCCTAATGATATAAATACTATGGTTAAGTCCCTGCTTCCATACGCTCAATCTCTAAAAATACGCTAAACCCTATTCACAGCAGAGAGATATTTTGAAGTACTGGAAGTAGAAGACGACCAAGAACTCTGCAATGTCTTCCGTATTCTACAGATAAGTTTAATATAATTAGTCGATCTCTATTTTATATATTGATTTGATTTATTCGTGATCCTAATGTCTTGTTGTTGTGATTTCAGAATATGTCTTACATGCATCACACCAAACCCAAATACCCGTCGGTTCAGAAGATCGGAGGAGCGGAATCCTCACTCTCAATGGTGATTTCCGACGACCGTAAGGGCTGGATTTTCCAGCAAGGGGAGGGCCTGAACCTGCGCTCCAGCTGTGTTTTCCGGCGAGGGGAGGGGCGGCCGCCACTCCTCGCCCTCACGTGGCTTCGCCACTGCATGGACATATGATGTCTTCCTCAGTTTTAGAGGAGAGGATACCCGCAACAATTTTGTAGGTCATCTGTACAAGAATTTGGTTCAGAAGGGAATCAAAACCTTCATAGACGAAGAGGCGCTTCAAAGAGGAGAGGAAATATCGTTGGCGCTTCTCAAAGCAATCGAGCAATCGAGGATTTCTCTTGTTGTCTTCTCAGAAAACTACGCTTCCTCACACTGGTGCTTAGATGAACTCGTTCACATCTTTCACTGTAAAGAACAACTGCAGCAGATGGTTTTTCCAGTTTTTTACAAGGTGGATCCATCGGATGTGAGGAGGCAAAGAAAGAGTTTCGGTAAGGCACTTGCTGACCATGAAAGCAAACTCAAAGATAACATGGACAAGGTGTTGAGATGGAGAGAAACTCTTACGAAAGCAGCAAATTTGTCTGGCTGGTCATTCCAGGCAGACGGGTATTTTTCTGACCTCTATGTACAAATAAACTTCAATTCATAAGCATAATATGAAGGCTTTTTAGCCAAAATGGTTTTTCTGAGATGAGCATAACTCTTTACTTTGTTCTTCAAGATTTAAAATCGATAGAAGTGGTTCTTGAGATTGTCCATCGTCAATCATTTTAGTTATTCCGTGAAAAAAAAATATTTGTTAAATTGAGTGTATTTTTGTCAAATCAATCGCTTCACTTGAACTGGTGGTTTCTCCAGTTTAGTTGAGATTTCTCACAGAATGACCAAAGTGATTAACGGTGGACACTCTCAAGAACCACTTTTATCGATTTTAAATTTCAGTGACCAAAATGAAGAGTTATAAGAATTTCAGCAACTATTTTAGCTAAAAAGACTAATATAAATATATAATATTTGAGAAATGCTAAGGAAACCCTCTCAAAGTGGAACTCTCTTCATGAGCTCTCTCACACCTCATAGTTTAATGTTAGTTTCCTTGCCAACATTATAAAATATTGTGGCAAAAAATGAGGTGGCAAAAAGTTCATAGAGAGTATCACTTTTGAGAAATTATCCTCAGCATTTTTCATAATATTTTGATATTATTCCCTCACAATATTATAGGAAAACTTGTTTAAGTTATTCATTATTAGTATGTGAAGCAAACACATATTGGAGAATATAATCCCACATCGGTCATATGATAAAATAATATACAACAAATATATGAGAGTTTGCACTCCTAATAGAGAATTTTTGTAGTAAAATCTAATACCGAGTAGTAGGAGATTAAATTGAGACACTATTGGTATTCTTGATGGTAAATCATGTTTGGCCTATAAAATTTATCAACACATAGCTAAACGCCATTCATCCATACTTAATATATAATGCCAACAACCCATTTAGGGTCACGGACTTCACCAAAAAGAATGCCCCCCCTCTCCAAATAAAAAAGTTCAAAACCAGTCGAAATGAATGCATAAAATAGTGCAGAGGCAATTTTGTCATAAAAAGAATTTTTTTATTGTTTTTTTATGATTAGTATCTTACTATTACGTGGAATATTCAGGAGTTTCTTCTAGCATGGTCTAATATTATTCATTTAATCCAAATGTTTGACTTTCTTTTTCTTAAGTAGAGTTGTCTGTCTGCTCTTGAAATATTGGTTACATGGAACATCAACGGATTTCTTCTAGTTTAATTATAATAATGTTCTTTTTTATGCTTTTAAACTTGTAGGCATGAATCTAAATTTATTCAAAAAATTGTTGAAGATATTTCGGTCCCAGTTTTAGATAGTACCCATTTGAATGTGGCAAGGTATCCAGTTGGAATAGAGTCTCGCCGTTCCTCCGACGCCGCACCGCCCGCAACTACCGCCAATTCTGATCAAGACCGAGATCGGGATAGAGAGAGAGACCGAGACCAAGATCGAGATCGCAGTCCTTCAAAGGTGCTGCTTCCGCCCTCGCTTTCTTAGCTGGAAGATTTGTAGGATTCGCTTTCTTATGTATGCTGTGTTACTGATTGGTTTGGTGATGCAGGCACAAGATTTCAGGCAGCCGGAACCTCAGATAAGCATGAAGACTTGTTTGCAGAAGAAGTTTGAAATAGTTTGCAAATTCTTATTCGTTTTGTGTTGGATCATCTTCTTAGTATTTTGGGTCCGTGGCGCCGCACGCATCGGTTTTTTTAGCGAGTTTTTTCAATAAATTGTAAGAGACTTGTTGCATATTTAAATTAACACACATTATATCCTTGTTTCCTATGTTTTCAGTATATTCCAATGCTTTATTATATATATGTCATTCTATTTTGTAGTTTATGATGAAATTATATATTGTAAGTATAAGCAGACATTTATTTACACGAAATATAATAGATTTACTTAAATCTACCTAGTCCGCTTAGGTGCTCCCTTAGCTGCCTAGGCACTAGGTTCTAATGCACCGCCCGACTAGCACCTATCGTCTTTTAGAACCTTGGTTATGGTAGTGGTGGGAGTTAAATAGGCGTATGCCTAGCCTATGGAGCTCACAAAAAAAAACCAAGGATAATTTTTATTTTGTATTTCATTTTTTTAATAAAATGGAAGGGACTTTTGAATGCTTCGATGAACATTTATTATATGGTTGCTCATTATGTTTTCAGTATGTTCTAATACTTTATAATTTATATTATTTTAATTTATAATGTATGTATTTCAATACAATTATGTATTTTAAAACAGACCCTGTTATACACTATTGGCTTGGTAATTTGAATCAAATCCACACCATCTCAATAAAATTCCAATCCATCCCAATACATTTGGGTCAAAAGTTGGAGTTGCAAAGCACAGAAAAGACATATTTGGGCCTAGTGGGTCTCACGGTGGTGCTTAGATGAATCGGTTTGAGTCTGACCGAGTCTGAGTGTTCCCAAAGAAAACGAATAACTCGGTTCATGACGAGAGATTTTTCAGTGCAACCAAATCATGAGCCATACATTACATGTCACTATATAAATGATAAAATATGTGTTAAAAAATTGATAACTAAAAATTTAAACTTTCTGCCACTTGCATAAAAATACGTGATCATTCGGTATTCCCATCATAATAAAAAATTTCTAGTCCATGACAGAAGCGGCACACCTGGGAAGGTTGGTTCGTCACTGAGACTTCAATAAATACTTGCATTTGCCTACACACTTTATGTGTATGCACACATTTTTTTAGAAAATGAGAAGGAGAGAGGGAGAGAGAGAGAGAAAGAACATGAGGGAGTGAGAGGTTTTTTTTTTGGTTTATTTTTTTTTTAAATTTTAAATATTAAAGATATTTTAACATCATATATAGGTAAAGTTTCAATAAAAAATAGTAAAATTTAGACTTGTGAAATTACATTATTATCTATCATTTTTTTTTGTGATAAAAGACTAAGTTATTTTTCATCCTCTTTTGAGACAAACAAGTTTCATTAATTAATAGAGATTAGAAACCGCAGGAGCTGCCATTTCCGATGATCGAATGCTTTAGAGAAAGAGAGATGGCGCGGCAAGAAAGCAAAGAGCCCTGCAAGAAAGAAGCCTGCAACATTCAAGCATGCCCCTCCAAGAACAACTTCCTCCCTCAAAAGTACGCCCCTCCGTCCTCTTTTTCCTCCTCTTCTCTTTATTATTATCTGTATCACTTGTTTGGTTTCCGAGAAAACATTGTTTGGTTGCCGAGAAAATAGAGGAACATTTCTATCATCTCCATTTTCTTTCCCAAGAGTGAAGCTTTAAAATTCATGGGTCGAATCGAATATCTTTTCATTCAAGAACAATTTTTGTTTATTTCTCCATCGTATTGTAATTAATATAAAATGCGTTGTGATTTGATTTCTAGCTGGTTAGGGGTTTTACCATTGTGATTGGCTGCTTGCTTTACAACTTCTGTTTGTTTTACTGTTTCCTGAGCTTTTCAAAAAATATATAATCTGGCTCTTTTCAATTTATACGGTAAGACGGTAAGGGTGTGTTTGTTAGGGATGATTGGGTTGGATAGGATAATTGCTAGATTCAAGGCATATCCAAGTTGAAGGTAGAAGACAAGTTACTCATGAAGGAAAGTTGTCCATTCGAATTCCCACAAAAAACTAGGATTAGATGGGGTAACTTTCCTCTCTGATCATCGTTTTCGACATTCAACTTGGACAAATTTGGGAGTTGTGTTGCATTTTTCCCTTAAATATGCCTTGAATCTAGTGAGTTATGCTACCCAAGCTAATCCTCCCTAACAAACGCACCCAAACAGTTTCCACAAGCTGGTTTTCTTAACAAAACTTTCTTTTAGCACCATGGAGGTAAATCTATAATCTCCAACGAGGAGGAATTGAACCGATACTTGTGGATGCAGTCTAGCTGTACTGACTTGAAGTTCTATAATCTCTCAGCATCTCATCCTTTTTCGTAATCGAATGATCATGGATTCAACGACCAATGAAGGAGCCTCTTCCTCTTCGTCTTCTTCTTACACCCATTCATGGACATATGATGTCTTCCTCAGTTTTAGAGGAGAGGATACCCGCAACAATTTTGTTGGTCATCTGTACAACAATTTGGTTCGGAAGGGAATCAAAACCTTCATAGACGACGAGGCGCTTAAAAGAGGAGAGGAAATATCGGCAGCGCTTCTCAAAGCAATCGAGCAGTCGAGGGTTTCTGTTGTTGTCTTCTCCGAAAACTACGCTTCCTCAGAGTGGTGCTTAGATGAACTCGTTCACATCTTTCACTGTAAAGAACAACTGCAGCAGATGGTTTTTCCAGTTTTTTACAAGGTGGATCCATCGGATGTGAGGAACCAAACAAAGAGTTTGGGCAAGGCACTTGCTCACCATGAAAGCAAACTCAAAGATAACATGGACAAGGTGTTGAGATGGAGAGAAACTCTTACAAAAGCAGCAAATTTGTCTGGCTGGTCATTCCTGGCCGACGGGTATTTTTCTGACCTCTATGTACTAATAAGCTTCAATTCATAAGCATAATACGAAGACTTTTTAGCCAAAATGATTTTTCTATGATGAGCATAATTCTTTACTTTGTTCTTTAAGATTTTAAATCGATAGAAATGGTTCTTGAGATATCCATCGTCAATCATTTTGGTTATTCTGTGAAAAAAATCTCAATTTGTTAAATCAATCACTCCACTTGAACTGGTGGTTTCTCCAGTTTAGCTGAGATTTCTCACAGAATGACCAAAGTGATTAACAGTGGACACTCTCAAGAACCATTTTTATCGATTTTAAATTTCAATGACCAAAATGAAGAGTTATAACAATTTCAGCAACTATTTTAGTTAAAAAGACTAACATAAATATATAATATTTGAGAAATGCTAAGGAAACCTCTCAAAGTGGAACTCTCTTCATGAGTTCTCTCACACCTCATAGTTTAATGTTAGTTCTCTTGCCAACATTATAAAATATTGTGGCAAAAAATAAGGTGGCAAAAAGTTCATAGAGAGTATCACTTTTGAGAAATTATCCTTAGCATTTTTCATAATATTTTGATATTATTCCCTCACAATATTATAGGAAAACTTGTTTAAGTTATTCATTATTAGTATGTGAAGCAAACACATATTGGAGAATATAATCTCACATCGGTCATATGATATAATAATATATAACAAATATATGAGAGTTTGCACTCCTAATAGAGAATTTTTGAAGTAAAATCTAATACCGAGTAGTAGGAGATTAAATTGAGACACTATTGGTAATCTTAAAAGAATTTTTTTATGATTAGTATCTTACTATTACGTGGAATATCCAAAGGTTTCTTCTAGCATGGTTTAATATTATTTATTTAGTCCAAATGTTTGACTTTCTATTTCTTAAGTAGAGTTATTTGTCTGCACTTGAAATATTGATTACATGGAACATTCACGGATTTCTTCTAGTTTAATTATAATAATGTTATTTTTTATGCTTTTAAACTTGTAGGCCTGAATATAAATTTATTCAAAAAATTATTGAAGATATTTCGGTCCAAGTTTTAGATAGTACCCATTTGAATGTGGCAAAGTATCCAGTCGGAATACAGTCTCGTGTCAAACAATCCAGTTCGGTTTTTTTGGATCTTGGATCTGCTCCTGTCCTCGATCGCGAGCAATTCGAGAGAGACCGAGATCGAGATCGCAGTCCTTCAAAGGTGCTGCTTCCGCCCTCGCTTTCTTAGCTGGAAGATTTGTAGGATTCGCTTTCTTATGTATGCTGTGTTACTGATTGGTTTGGCGATGCAGGCACAAGATTTTAGGCAGCCGAAAACTCAGATAAGCAGCAAGATGAGTCTGAGGAAGAAGTTTGAAATAGTTTGCAAATTCTTAACCGTTTTGTATTACATCATCATCGTAGTACTTGTGGCCAGACACCACGATTTTTTTAGGGAAATTTTTATAGAAAGTATAATAAATTTACCTAAAGTTGTCTAGTCCGCTTAAGTGCCCCTAGCCGCCTAGGCACAAGGTTCTAATCCATCGCCCTACTAGCGCCTATCGTCTTTTAGAACTTTAGTTATATTAGTGGTGGGAGTTAAATAGGCGTATGCCTAGCCTATGGAGCTCGCGAAATAAAGGGATAATTTTTATTTTGTATTTCATTTTTTTAATAAAATGAAAGAGACTTTTGAATACTTCGATGAACATTTATTATATGGTTGCTCACTATGTTTTCAGTCGGTTCTAATTTTTTATCATTTATGTTATTTTAATTTGCAATGTATGTATCTCAATACAATTATGTATTTTAAAACAGACCTCGTTATGCACTATCGGCTTGGTAATTTGAATCAAATCCACACCATCTCAATAAAATTCCAATCCATCCCAATACATTTGGGTCAAAAGATGAGTTGCAAAGCATAGTAAAGACATATTTTGGCCCAGTGGGTTTCAAATTTTTTTGGCCCAGCCCTTTATCAAAAATGAATTTTGTATCAAAACGGATTATGTTTTGACATATAGTCATTTGGCCGGTTCTGTTGGAAATTGCCTTAGCTTTGTTATTTTAGGCTGACATCATAGTGGCTTTTAAGTGAAAATGATTCGAAAATGGTTCAATTTTCACATTGACCCTCTACTCTACCCTTTACAAAAGTTCACAAAATTTACATTAGCAAGAAAGACACACCAAAACCAATACGCGCTAAAATTACCGTAAACTCCCTCCATGACAACTCTAACTGGCACAATTTCAACGAAGGTAATATATCTCCCAACCCAAATGATATAATAAAGTAATTCCGGATATAAATGATAGAAAAAGTAAAATGAGACATAATATAGAAAGGTAAAATTAGAAATTTTGTGGAACTAGAGGAACACTTGTTTCAATTGTATTCATTATTAGAATGTGAATCAAACACATGTTGGAGAATGGGATTTCACATCCGTCATAATCACATGACAAAATATGTGCTATTAATATATGGAAGTTTCAACACCTAATATCAACGAGATTTTTGTAATAAAATCTAACACCTAGTAATAAGAGATAAAATTGAGACAATATCATAATGTTGATGGTGGACTATGTTCCACCTATGAAGTTTATCAACACATAGCTAAATGTCATTTATCTAAATATAATAATGTTCTTTTTTTGGCCTTTAAACTTGTAGGCATGAATCTAAATTTATTCAAAAAATTGTTGAAGAGATTTCGGTCCAAGTTTTAGATAGCTCCTATCTGAATGTGGCGAAGTACCCGGTTGGAGTAGAGTATCGTGTCAATCAATCCGGTTCGGTTTGTTTCGATTTTCGATATGCTCCTGTCCTCACTTGCCAGCAATTAGAGCAGTTCCAGCCTTGCATATAGGCCGGGGGACAGGGGAGAAGAAAGGGCCCGAGGGCCTGTCAATCACGTCCAGCCTTGAAGGGCCCGAGCTCGTGGAGAAGGCCCGAGCAGGGGCCTGTCAATTTGTGACAGCCCCGGAGCCCGAGCTCCATGCCCATTTTTTATTTTTTTCTGTCAGGCGCGTGCACCCCACTCGCGAGTGGGGGCGCGTCGCCCGACCAGTTTTCAGAAAAGTCAGCCGACTTTTCAGACAGAAAAGTTACCGTTGGGAAGACACGTGGCTTCCCACGGTCCGTTCGATCTCAACGACTCCTTCATTTGGACCGTTGAATCTCAACGGTAAAAAAAAAAAATCTAATTTAATATCAACCGTTCGATCTGAGATCAACGGTCGATATTAATATGCTTTATAAATAAAGAAAAAATAGTTTTAAAATTAAGAAAAGTTACCGTTGTGACACGTGGCACAATCTGGAGTGTTGGAATTCAAATTTTTTTAAATCCAACGGCAGAGATTAATTATTTGAATAAAAATTAAAAAAAATGGAAAAAATCCGAAAAAAAATTGTAAAAAATCTGAAAAAAAATTGTAAAAAATTGTTTTTACTTTTCTATAAATACCACTTCTTCTCCATCTACCTTACACCACAATTTCATATTTTCTCAACTACTTTCAATCAAATTCCTATCTTTCTCTCAAAGTTTCAATCCAATTTTTTTCCACAAAATGACTATTGATGCAGGTACGAATTGGTCGCTTCTTGAAGATGTTGCGTTGTGCACTAGCTGGGTTGAAGTTACTCATAATTCCCTTACGGGTAATGAGATGCAGTTGCGAGAAATGTGGAGTTTAATTCATACCAAATATCTTGAGCAAATGAGTGGGAAAAGAACCAAAGAATCGATGTCCAGTCGTTAGAAAATACTTAGCCATTCCTTTAGTACATGGAGAGATGCATTGACACAAGCTAGTAGTAATGTTCGAAGTGGGGCAAATTATGCGGATGAGGTAAGAATATATTATAATTATTTGTTTGTATTATTATTTTGTTACCTAATTTGATTATAATTATTTGTTTGTATTATTTATTTGTTACCTAATTTCATTATTATTATTATTTGTTTGCATTATTTATTTGTGACCTAATTTCAATATTATTATTTGTTTGTATTATTTATTTGTTACCTAATAATTTCATTATTATTATTTGTTTGTATTATTTATTTGTTACCTAATAATTTCATTATTATTATTTATTTGTATTATTTATTTGTTACCTAATTTCATTATTATAATTATTTGTTTGCATTATTTATTTGTGACCTAATTTCATTATTATTATTTGTTTGAATTATTTATTTGTGACCTAATTTCATTATTATTATTTGTTTTTATTATTTATTTGTGGCCTAATTTCATTATTATTATTTGTTTGTATTATTTATTTGTTACCTAATAATTTTATTATTATTATTTGTTTGTATTATTTATTTGTTACCTAATAATTTCAATATTATTATTTGTAGCAACTTCAAGCACAAGCATGGTATGCTGCCAAAATCAAATCAAGAAACAAATCATTCACCCGATGGGAATGTTGGAATATTGTTAAAGATTGTCCTAAATTCAAAGTTGTGCCTGTTGGTCCAGAAGTATGCATGAACAACATCCCTCTACACAGCACCTTTGTACACAACACCCCTCCACACTCTACACCCGATCATGGCTCCCATGTTGATGAAGAAGATGGAGAAGAAGTGCCTGAAACGCCCATTCCAGAACAAGCGTCGGGGTCGACCCGTTATCCAATTAGGCATCAAGGTAAGAAGGCTTCAAAGAGGAAAGGGAGTGCTTCCAAGAATGATTATGGAAAGTTTATGCAAGAACTTGCTCGTCAAGGTGAATTGACATTGGCGCGGGAATTGGCGAAATATGAGGCTGATAAGGCTAGAGATGAGGTAAAAGCTGCAGCTATTCAACAAGCATTTCAAGCTAAACAGAGGGAAAAAGAGCTACTTAGGCAAGAAAGGGAGTTGCTTAGAGAAGAAAGAATTGCACAACGAGATCGTGACATTATGAACATGCGTTTAGAAGGGATGTCTCCAAATTCTAAATATTTTTGGCAGGCGTGCAAGAGAAGCGAGATCAAGACAAGATGGTCTTAGCACAACAAGACAAGATGATCCTAGCACCACAGATTAGTTAAGTGGTGAGGAATAGGGTACTTTTGTAATCGGAGCCCATAGTTTTCCAATCACTTTGGGTTGTAATTTATTATTTATGTTGTTTCCATGTAATCGGAATAGGGTACTTTTGTAATCGGAATAGGGTACTTATGTAATTTATTATTTATGTTGTTTCTATTTTATTGAAGTTAGTACTTTATTAAAAGTGAGAGTACATATATTTAATTTCGTAATATATTTATCCTAATAACAGAATCTTTATTCATCAAATTGTTCACGTATAATGAAATTATAAAACACACCAAATAAAACTAAAAAACTCACCAATTGGAATTACATAAACACACCAAATAAAATTACATAAACATACGAAATAATAAAAAACTCACTACAAAAAACACACCAAATAAAATTACATAAACATACCAAATAATTCACACCAAATAAAATTACATAAACATACGAAATAATAAAAAACTCACTACAAAAAACACACCAAATAAAATTACATAAACACACCAAATACAAACAAACATACTAAATAAACTTAAGTATTTTCAGCTTGTTTCAATGCCCACTGGTGCTCTATCAAGTCAATTTGCCGATCAATGTGCATAGATGACCTTTGAAGTGCAGTATATCGTTGAATGACCTTTTCATTGTAACGTCCATCCCTTTCTAATGGGTCGTGTTGCACGGGTTCTTCAGTGGCATCATGCGCACAATATATCCGTGTTCTTGAATTGTTCATCGTGTCTGGCTCTGGCTCATATTCATCAACCGCATCATAATCGAACTCATCTTCCACAATCATGTTGTGAAGAATGACGCACGTCATCATGATGGATCGAAGTGACTCTACATCGAACATTCTGGCAGCACCCCTGACGATCGCCCAACGAGCTTGAAGGATACCAAAACAATGCTCCACATCTTTCCTGCACCCCTCTTGACAGCTTGCAAAGTGTTTTTCCTTTGCACTTCGTGGACGTGGCACTGTTTTGACAAATGTTTCCCACCGTGGGTAAATGTCGTCAGCTAGGTAGTATGCCCCTTCGTACCTACGTTCGTTGACGACGTACGTGACTTTTGGTGCCTTTCCTTGCAGGACGTCGTTGAACACTGGGGATTGGGCAAGGACGTTGAGATCATTTTGAGCCCCCGGAACCCCGAAAAAGGCGTGCCATATCCATGTATCAAAAGATGCCACTGCCTCCAAAATGATAGATTTTGATCCTTTTCTTTCCCCATATGCGCCTTGCCATGCACTTGGACAGTTTTTCCACGTCCAGTGCATACAATCGATGCTTCCTATCATCCCAGGAAAACCTCGCATCTCGCCCTTCTTCAGAAGCCTTTGCAAGTCCCAGCGAGTAGGTTTTCGGAGGTACTCTGCGGTGTACAAAGATTCGACTGCTCCGCAAAACCTCATCAGGGCCTCAAGAATGGTTGATTTCCCCATCCTCGTTATCTCATCCACTTGGTCTGCAGATGCTCCATACGCAAGCATCCACAACGCAGCAGTGATTTTTTGCTCAGGCAGGAGACCCATAACACCACAAGCATCCTTCTTTTGCACAAAGTAAGAATCATGGTTGCAAACATCAGTCATGATTTTGTTGAACAAATGTCGTTCCATTCTAAAATGGCG